CTGTCCGACTCGTCTGTGTGCCTGATTGCACATCTCCAAGTCTGTCCTGCCCGTCTGTGTGCCTGACTGCACAACCCAGTGTCTGCCCGCCTCGTCTGTGTGCCTGATTGCACATCTCCAAGTCTGTCCTGCCCGTCTGTGTGCCTGACTGCACAACCCAGTGTCTGTCCGACTCGTCTGTGTGCCTGATTGCACATCTCCAAGTCTGTCCTGCCCGTCTATGTGCCTGACTGCACAACCCAGTGTCTGTCCAACTCGTCTGTGTACCTGATTGCACATCTCCATGTCTGTCCTGCCCGTCTGTGTGCGTGATTGCACATCTCCAAGTCTGTCCCGCCTGTCTTCGATCCTGACTTGTACATCTCCATGTTTCTTTCATCCATCTGCGTGTCTGGCTACACATCTCCAGGTTTGTCTTGGCTGTGTGACCTTGATTGCTCACCTTCATGTTTGTCTTGCCCATCTGCGCATCTGACTGCACATTTTCATGTTCATCCTGCCCATCTGCAATTCTGACTGCGCATCTCCCTGTTTTTCCTGCCCATCTTCACGTCGGTCCCGCCAGTGAGCTGAAGGAGCGCCTGAAGCCGGAGCTCCTGGAGCTGATCCGGCAGCAGAGGCTGAACCGCCTGTGTCACGGGACGCTCTTCCGGAAGATCAGCAGCCGCCGCAGGCAGGGTGAGTCCAGAGCAAACTCCATCTGCCTGAGTCTGACTCCTGCTGAGCAGTCTTTCTGGAATGTTGTGCTTGTGTTCCACTGCACAGCCCCCACCTGTAGCCCCAGGTCAGGATCAGAAGCACTGTATGTTGGTTTTAGGCTCATTACCCTAGTCCTGTCAAACTTGGTGGAGTTGGCTTCAATTGCACTCGTTTGTTTCATGTAATTAAGGACCTGGGGTTGTGAGGCCCCTTCTGAAATGCACTGTGTTGTTTCTGCATGCTCTCCAAAAATGGAATCCCCCCCCCCCCCATGTAATTTTTTGGGTCCAGAACTTGAGAGTGGAACACGCCCCAACTACTCCTGATTTCGCCCTGACAGATAAGCTGTGGTATTGCCGCCTCTCGCCCAATCACAAAGTCCTGCACTATGGAGACGTGGAGAAGGAGACGGAGACTCCGCCCATCGAGATGCTTCAGGAGAAGAGTGAGCCCACTCGGATTCCTTTGCACTCTCTGGGAGTGCCGATGGCCGGCCTTGATGTAGCTCTGCTTTTTGCTGGGTTACCTCAGAGCAGGTCCCCACACTGTATCTCCACTGCAGAAAGGATGTGTTGTGCACTTGCTGTCTTACTCTGCTCCTCTTTGTTTCAGTTCCTGTGTCAGACATTAAGATGTTGCTGACTGGGAAAGACTGTCCTCATATGAGAGAGGCCCGGGGGAGACAGAATAGGGTCAGTCCTGGTCCTGTGGAAGCACAAAGCTTAATGTCCACTGATTGAGGGCATGTCAGACCAAGGGTACCTTGGTATCTCGTTTCTCTGCAGGAAGTCCTAGATCTGGCCTTCAGCATCACCTACGACGTCGAGGACTACAGCCTCAACTTTGTTGCCTCTTCCAGGACCGATGTGAGTCTTTGTGGCTCTTTACTCACTAACCCACTGTTTACTCCAGTTGTCCGCTCTGTGTACAGTGGCTAAGATGGTCCCAGATCGATCTCCTGAATGGACTCCTGAATGCCCTTGTCACGTGAATGACCCTCATCAGTGATCCTGAGAAGTAACGTTATCGCAGCCCAAAGTGTGTGGCCTCCTGCATTAGTAGTCTAAAGAGCACTGAGTGGCCCTGTGGATTAGGTTTGCGATTGGAAGATTGCTGGTTCAAATCCTGTGATTTTGATGCTGGGCCATTGAGCAAAGTCCTTATCCTCAGTTGTTCCAGGGACGGTCTCAGTTATATGTTTATTTGTATAAAATGTTTTCTAGATAGATGAATGTGATGAATAATACTAATA